ATGGCGATTCGAGTCGCGTGATGGATGGTACCCGCGGTATCTTGTATCGCGGAATATCGCCGCCGACCGCTCTTGCTTATTAAACTGTTCGGTATTTCTCGTGGACGAGTAACAAGGCAAGGGAGCATATATATATATATATATATCGCGGGGAGGAAGACGCGCGAGGGAGGAGGGAAGATCGATGCCTCGTGTGTTCGAGCCGAAACTTTTAATAAGTGTCATCCGTGCTACCGAGGTAGTCAGCAGAGTCCCGTCTCGTTATAAATCGCTACCGTTCACCTTCCTCGAGAAATTATCTGATTTATTTCCGACGACCGGATCGGTTACGCTGAGGAAAAAAAATTGTAAACTTGGCTAAACATTTTCGACTAATTATTTATTATTTTTTTAATTGAAATATTCCATCTAAATGCGACATATTAAACCCAATGATATCTATTTAATTTAAATACTTAAATATTTTAATTATTTAGGGAAAAATTATTTATTTATTTATTATATTTTAATTATTTAGAGAAAAATAAAGAGAAGGAAAAAGATAAAATTGGAGAAGAATAAAATTAATTATTTATTTATATTTCAATTATTTAGAGAGAAAAAAAGATGATAATTAGTTGAAAATACTTCAAGTCAAGTTTACAATTTTTTTTCTCAAAATCGACGGATTACTTAACATTTAATTCTTCGTCAAGAAAGGTGAAAATTTCATCATGATATGTGTATTTATTTCGCCTACAAATTTATTGATCTTTTTCCACTGGAAATTTTAATAAAAGTAGAAATCAAACACGAACAAATATCTCGCAGCAACGTTGCCGCGATGTGATTCGTAGGAATTTCTCGTATTCTTATATCACACAGGTGGTAGCGATTATTCTACACTTGTACGAGCAATAAAATATCCCCGGAGGAAGAGCCTTAGAGATCCCTGTGGTTCTCCGCGGACACCCGGTACCGAAACGGATGATTGCGCGCCGCGAACGCAACAGATCGCTACGTTATTATTTTCGCCAGTTATCGAATTAGATGTTGGCTTAACGGATACGTACAGCGTAATCCCCGTATAACCATATCTCATAGGCGTACAATTTCATCCTTCACTCAAAAAGCATTAATATAAAATTAGAAAAATCTGATTGAATCAGCTGGTCGCGACTACCTCGTTGAATATTCGAGTGACACCCGATAGACCGAATGGGGGCGAAATGCGAAATCTTTGGCAAGATGGATCATGAATCGTCGATCGAGCGAATGATCGAGTAATAAAACACTTCCTTTGCCGGAAGGAAAAGCGAGTCCGGTTTCTGCCGCGATCGTCCTCACGTCAATCGCGTGCTTTATGTCGCCCCTTTTGCATAAACGCGCTCAATTTGTTCGCACGGGGCTGTAAATTATGCCAATTCAGGGACGTGGATGACGCCCATGGGCTCTCTCTCTCTCCCTTTCTCTCGTCTGTCTTTTATCTCCCTTCCGTTTCCCTTCGTTTCAGTTCTCTCGATTTCTCTCCTCCCTTGCCTCTCCCCGGACACGGGGCATCCCCCGAGATTACGGCCTCCCCCCCTGCTCCCACTTGTTACTACCTACAACGTACTTACGTTACTTTTAGAACTGCTTATTACTGTGATTACCGCCGCATAATGCGGCGACCGAGCCGTTCTACAATTTATTATTGAATTGCTATAATACGGACCGAACCGCGCGGCATCCCCCGATGCGCCCCGCCGTCGTTTTATACACGTTGCTGCGGAAAATGCATGACGCGAATCGAATTTCTCTACACACGAAAAATTGGACACGCTCGATGGCGTCTTATTCGCATTCCTAGGCTAGATCCATCGCTCATTATTATGCGGAGATATGTATTTTTAAGGCAGCTCCGAAGATAACTTCTCGCGAGTGTTTAACAGGAAATATCGTAATTAATATTTATTAAAATTGATTAACGGGAAATATCGTAATTAATATTTATTAAAATTGATTATAAACGGAAGATAAGGTCTTTGTAATTTATTTATAAAATAAAGCTTCATTCTTAAAAATTTAGTCTCTCTCGAGCCGAAACATTTTCAAAGAAAAAACTAAGATAATCTCTTAATTGATTCTTTACATTAAACTGCACATACCAAAAAAAATATGAGACAATTAATAAATTGTATTAATTAGCTTATTATCAAATAAGACAAAAAATTGTATATATAAATATTCTTCTAATTTTTTTATTAGTTCAATTATCTAATTTTTAATTATTTTTTTATTATAATAACTCAAATATAATTTCTTAAATTTCGCAAAAATTTATAATCATTGCTCATTATTATGCGGAGATATTTTTAAAACAGCTCTGAAAATAATTTCTCGCGAGTGTTTAACAGGAAATATCGTAATTAATATTTATTAAAATTGATTATAAACGAAAGATCTTTGTAATTTATTTATAAAATAAAGCTTCATTCTTAAAAATTTAGTCTCTCTCGAGCCGAAACATTTTCAAAGAAGAAACTAAGATAATCTCTTAATTGAGTCTTTACATTAAAATACTGCACATACCAAAAAGAATAAGAGACAATTAATAATAAATTAGCTTATTATCAAACAATACAAAAAAATTGTATATATAAATATTCCTCTAATTTTTGTGTTAGTCCAATTAATTAATTTTTAATTATTTTTTTATTATAATAACTCAAATATAATTTCTTAAATTTCAGAAAATTATAATCATTGCTCATTATTATGCGGAAATATTTTTAAAGCAGCTCCGAAAATAATTTCTCGCGAGTGTTTAACAGGAAATATCGTAATTAATATTTATTAAAATTGATTTGAAACGAAAGATAAGGTCTTTGTAATTTATTTATAAAATAAAGCTTCATTCTTAAAAATTTATTCTCTTTCGAGTCGAAATATTTTCAAAGAAAAAACTAAGATAATCTCTTAATTGATTCTTTATATTAAACTGAAAAAAATGATATATATAAATATAATTTTAATTAATCCTCTAATTTTTTTATTAATCCAATTAACTAATTTTTAACTAATTTTTTATTATTTATAATAACTCAGATATAATTTCTTATAAAATTTCAGAAAATTTATAATCATATTTAATATCATGACAGATTCATAAAATCTTAAAAATTGATATAATAGTGACGGATCTTGTATTTTTATTATTTTTAGTTTATTATTAGCAGAAATAAAGAAGAAAATTTTCATGAAAATCCAGTTAAACATGTATATATTAGCTTCTTCAAATATTCATATACAAATTAATGTATCATATACGCTATTTTTGTAGCTCATTTTCTGTTCTCTTAAAAATAAAATTTTAACGCATTATAAATCCTTATTTGCTTTATATACATGCATATATATTCGCTTAGATTGTCGACTGTAATTTTGCCAGAAAAATTTTAAATTTAATCAAACAATACTTTATACTTTTATTATATTTATTTTATATTCTTTACTCGATATAATAAGGGACCGATAGTTTTCATGAAATTTTTCCCCTTCGACGATATGAAATGCGGAAGAGGATGCCCAAGGCGTGGACTCTGGTGAACTGTACACGTGCATATATGCGGACACGCATACATACACACGTACACATGTGCTCGAACGCACCGGTGAACAAAATCACCGGTCTGGCCTCCTATCCGCCTATTTCGCGATGCTATTCATTGTTACTTTCATGCGTGATTGCTCGCGCTCAGGTGGTTGCACAAAATAACACATCCAAGTCGAACGTACCACGAGGGTGGGGGAAACGGGTTGATTTTCTCAAATGCTCCGTGTTGCATTTTCTTATAAAGTATACGTTGAGATGTGCGCATAAAATACATACCCAAAAATCCGTAAAATATAATAGCAATATTTATAAAGCGCGTTTAAAAGATTAATGATTAGTGAGAGATATGATTAGTGGGAGTTTCCATAAGAAATTTAATATAATATAATATTTAACATAATATTTAATATAATATAATATTTAATATAATATAATATTTAACTTTAATATAATAAAATATTAAATAAATAGGGACTAAATAAACAAGGAAATATTTGAAAGTTATAATTATAGAATAAAAAACTGATTATATAATTTTGCATATAATTAATATGATGGATAATGAGCGATTAGCAGCGATTTATATGGTCGATTAAAAATTAAATGTTACATTTTTCATTTTGGTAAAACCATTAAAGATTTATATATCAAGATATGCAAGTTTTTCAGTCAAAAATTTTCCAAATAAAAATTAAAATAATCTCTTAATTAATCCTTTACATAAACTGCACATACCAAAAAGAAGTCAATTAATAACAAATTGTAATAATTAGCTTCTTATCAAACAAGACAAAAAAATTATAAATAATTTTTTATAAATAAATTTATGTATAAACATTCCTCTAATTTTTTTATTATTCCAATTAACTAATTCTTAACTAATTTAACTAATTTTTAATTAATTAATTTTTTTATTAATTCCAATTTATAAGATTAAATGATAACGGAGAGAAATAATATTTGTCTCTTAATTGCAATTAAGAGAAATGTTTGCTAAAACTGATTTAAAAAAATATATATTATAGATTGAAATAATAAAAATAATTTAAAATTCTTGCTAAAGGGAGAGAGATAGTTTACATAAAAAATTTAAACATTAAATAAAGGGACTAAGTAAATGAAGAAATATTCGAAAATTACAGTTATGAAATAGAAATTGATTAATTATATAATTTTGTGTATAATTAATATGACGAATAACGAGCAATTGATATATGATAATCGAAGAAAAATTAAATATTACATTTTTCATTAATAAGATTATTTGAAAATTTATTTATAAAGATATCCAAGTATATTTCAAAATAGGTTCAGTAGCAAAACATCTGTTTGCATTTGCAACTAACTAAAGTTCAGTGTAATATCGACCGAAATGCACGTTCATAATAATTCCAACTACAAATGTTACGCGTCGCTGCCTGTCATCAATGAATGTCGAAGCACATGGCCTCATGTAAATATAACCTCAAAAAACCTGGGACGACCTGGAAGTGCCGTCTAATAATTGAATCCATCGAAACAAATCTTCTAAAAAATTTGACAACAATCGCAAGATTAGATTGCAATCTTCAACGACGAAGATGCTACGAAGGCAGGCTCGATTGCGTAGAGAGTACCTCTACAGAAAATCCGTGCAAGATAAGGTGAAGGGTATCCAGGAGAAGAAGGACAAGCTGAAGCGTAGCCTGGAGGAGAATATTCCGATTCATCCGGATCTGAGGAAGAACGCGCTGCACGTCCAGAGGAAGATCGAGTGGGAGGATGCTGGGCCGCAGATGGCAGTGGCCATGGGCACCGAAATGGGCGGCTCCGTGGCCAACCACGAGGACGATGAGTACCGCTGGGCCGGCGTGGAAGACCCGAAGATCGTCATCACGACGTCCCGTGATCCCAGCTCCCGGCTCAAGATGTTCGCCAAAGAGCTGCGTCTGATATTTCCCAACTCGCAGCGTATGAATCGTGGTAATTATGAGATGAAGCAGCTGGTTCACGCCTGTCGCGCCAACGACGTCACGGACTTCATCATCGTACACGAGCACCGAGGCGTTCCCGACACCCTCGTGGTATGTCATCTGCCGTATGGGCCAACAGCCTACTTTACACTGTCCGGTGTCATAATGCGACACGATATACCTGACATTGGCACCATGTCAGAGCAGTATCCACATCTAATATTCCACAATTTCAAGACGAAACTAGGAGCACGAGTGATGAACATTCTGAAGTATTTGTTCCCTGTGCCGAAAGAAGATAGTAAAAGAGTCATTAGTTTTGCTAATCATGATGATTATATATGTTTCCGACATCATACATATAAGAAGGTCCATAGGAAGGATATCGAGATGACAGAAGTTGGACCACGTTTCCAGATGAAGCTGTATGAGATTAAACTAGGAACTCTGGACACTGAATCAACGGCTGACACGGAATGGGCCTTGAGGCCTTATATGAATACAAGTCATAAAAGGAGATTTTTGTCCAACGAAGATGGCTGGCAGCAAGAAGATAGCATATAATTTAATTGTATTAATATAAATTATTACAGGTAAAAGTATTAATATTTTATATAATAAGTTTTGTAATTCAATAGATAGATAAAATCATATTAATACTTTTATATGTATAATAAAAAAGTTTTCTTGTACATATAAGAAATATACTCATTATATCAAATATACAATAGAATATAAAAATAGCATATGATAAATATAAAATAATCATAGATAACATATCAATGTTTCTATTTCAATTAATATTTGATGATTTATATACAATGAATGCTATAGTGAAAAACATGCATATAAATTATTGACTATATACAACATATATACATGTGTGTGAAGCATAAAGAAATTATTTTTCAAATTATAAAAACAATAATCTAATATCAAAATTATAATAGATATTTGATTAGATTTTATTAAATTATAGATATTTTATATTATTTTGTTAGAAGATATTTATATTTGTTCACATAACTAATTAATGACTTCTCTCTCCCTTTTTTTATATCTTTTTTAATATAAAAATTATTTTGATTATAAAATTAACATTAATTATACTTGTTACTTTACTAATTGTTTAATATTCTTTTTGGTAATTATTTCATATATAAAATCCAAATTTACATAAAAGCACAAATTTTACGAATATATATAGTTTTAGATCGTATCTTAAATGTATTAAAATAAAATAAATGCGCCTTAAAAAGAAATCGCGCGATTCTAATTTATGCGTGAAGAAGTGGCCATTTTTTGTAAATTACGCGATTTGAAAAGATAATTTTATTACATACCTTTTAACAGCTATTACGCTTCGATGCGACAAACGAAGGCCTCGATCCAGTGTCACTCTCTCCACAAAGATTTTTCGCCTTTTTTTTCTCGATGCTTGATATAATTTGCATCTTGTGCCTATAGAAAATTCCGGCTGGAAATGCAATTCGATTTCGTCGGCAGAAGGAAGATGGCGATTGTCTTAGTTGCAGGCAGTTGACAAAAATATTATCGCTAGATAATATTATCACTAGCAGTCACAGCACTTTGATACGATGCACATAATCTCGACTAAACTCTTCTTCAATTATTTTCACGAATATTTTTCTCATTTCTCTCCTGATTCTCGATATTTTTCACGATTCACGACGCGCGAGAAAAGTTTCCGCGAACCGAAGAAACCGCCGCGTCTCACTTGAAGTTACTCGCGTTATTTCATCGAAAGAAGAAAGGGGGCGTTGTTCCTTTCGCGGGTGATTTAAACAAAATTAGCAATTGAGATCATTTAAAATTTTATTATATTTAATTATTTTATTTAATTTATATTTAAATTTTAGTTTTCATTACATTTCCTGCGCTTCGCAAATCCACAAGGAAATTTTGATCCAATTCTATTTCTTTTCCAGGTGGATTTATTTCCCGAATTTTAATAATTTTTATTTTTCAATGCATCAGTAGAAAATCCTGTCCTATCCGACAATTCGAATTCATTAGCAAATTAATTATCATAAATGCGAGAATTACAGAATAACAATATCGCACGTATTTATTAAAATATTTACTGCAATTGGACTTGATTGGCAGAAGGAAGATGGCGATTGTCTTAGTTGCAGGTAATTGAAAAAAATATTATCGCAGATAATATTATCATTAGCAGTCACAGCACTTTGATACGATACACATAATGTCGACTTAACTTTTGTTTAATTATTTTTGCAAATATTTTTCTCATTTCTCCTCTGATTCTCGATATTTTTCACGATTTACGACACTCGAGAAAAGTTTCGCGAACAGAAGAACCCGCCGCGTCTCACTTGAAGTTACTCACGTTATTTTATCAGAAGAAGAAAGGGGGCGTTGTTCCTTTCGCGGGTGATTTAAACAAATTAGCAATTGAGATAATTTTAAATTTTATATTTAATTATTTTATTTAATTTATATTTAAATTTTAGTTTTTATTACTTTTCCTGCGCTTCGCGAATTGACAAGGAAAATTTTGATCCAATTCTTTTTCCAGGAAGATTTATTTCCCGACTTTTAATAATTTTTATTTTTCGCAATGCATTGGTAGAAAATCCTGTCCTATTCGATAATTCGAATTTATTAGCAAATTAATTATCATAAATGCGAGAATTACAGAATAACAATATCACATATATTTATAAAATATTTACTGCAATTCGACTTGGTTGGCAGAAGATGATCTTAAGGTGCAATTTCATTGACGCTAAAAAATAACGTCAACCATTGGTTAAACAATGAAGCAACTACTTACTTCTTTGTTCAACCAATGATTGACGCTACTTTTTAGCATCAATGAAATTGCACCTTTAGTTGCAGGTAGTTGAAAAAAATATTATCGCAGATAATATTATCATTAGCAGTCACAGCACTTTGATACGATACATATAATGTCGACTTAAGGGGATGCTGAATGTTCTTTTTTATCGACTGATCGATTATTTTACTTCTGAAAAATTTGTATTGGTTACATAGAATGACAAATCCTTTTTCACAATTAAAATACGCATATAAACATACGACGAGATAATCGATTTATAAGTAAAAAACGAAAAAAGTTAAAAAACAGAGTTGTAACTTAGTTGCCGCATTTCGCGATAGGCGGCACTACAATCTGTTTCACTTTCGTGCTTCGATTTCGAACGCGTGCAAATGCAAATTTTTGTGAACCGAAATTCGTTTTATTATACTATGAAACTCATTTTTAAAAATTTATTTACATTCTTTCATGCAATCCCTTGCACGGAGTAGTCATATTTTGTATATACAAGCTGCTAAACTTTTAAAATAATGATATGGGACGCCAACAGCCGACAACAGAGCAATATATATATATATATATATATATATATATATATATATATATATATCATTATGTACACTCCACGACAACGATTCGTTCCATAACTCCTCTCTTGCGGGGCAAGGGGAGCGTAGAAATGACCAATCAGCTAGCAGCGTGGCAGTAGCTGATTGGTCAGAGGCTACGCTCCCCTTGCCTCGCGAGAGAAGTCACGGAACGAATCATTGGATCTGTTCGTTTTAGCTGCACTGCTGCATTAGTGCAATTAGTTAGAGTGAAAGAAAGTATGTTTGTCTCTTTCTAACTTATTGCACTAGTGCAGCAATGCAGCTAAAACGAACAGATCCATTGTCGCGGAGTGTACAATAGCAAGTTTACATGTAAACATTTCCTACAAGTAAATTTTTTCATCGATATGTCGATACGGTTATTATATCAAATATCCTGTATACGTATTCGAAAAACAGAATAAAATCAGAGCTGTAGTAATTATTATTTTAAAATCAGAGCTGTAGTAATTATTATTTTCTCATTTACGCGCCAATAATATCTGTTACGCGCATGACCTGGCAGATCGCGCGCATCGCGTACTGCTATACATACGTTGTTCGTGATAATAACGCGAGAAAATGTGTTACTCGTTGCGACGTGTCTACGGAGTATACGTGTAGTAGAGTGTTGTAATAGTCATTTTTGTTAGTGTTTTTACCTTTAGACGAAGTGACAGTGATGGGAAAGAAATATAATAAGAAGTATTTGCCTCTCACTCGCCGCAGAGTTTCATTCAAGAAAGGATGGATGAAAAGGTTAGTTAACAAAATTTTATATATTATACAGAGCTTGAGTTCGGCAAAGCAAATCTGGAGCCTCTTTTAACACATTCTGTCTGTTATTTATTGCAATTAAAAAAAAATAGAGTAAAATAAAAGAGCATTGCAACGTCTCAGATTTGCTTTATCGAATTCAGGCAGAGTATCTCAATGAATTCCAAGCTTTGAGTGCGTAAAGATTAAAAATAAATGTATTAATAATTTTTGCAAATGTGCTCATTTTTGTTCTATTTATAATTTTGCTATATTGGTATATTTATTGTCAAATAGGTATATATTTTGAGAATTTTGATTTACTTTACAAAATTTTATATTTTGTAATATTTATTTCATAATACTTTTCGATAAATTTTATTACTGCTTCACATTTTGTTTACACATTTCGATAAATTTTATTATTGCTTCATATTTTGTGTTTACATTATTATGAAATAAAATATATAATAAAGAAAAAAAGTTGCCTAAAATAAAATTATAAAATTATAAATAAACGCATCCTGCTTACTTTTATTTGTTTATATTTACATCTCTCTTGTTCTATTACGAATTATATTTCAGTTATTACTCTTCAAAAATCTACATATGAATTCATTACACCTGTAACAATATATCGCGTACATATTGAATATACTAATCTTTTTGTAATTTTTTACAACACAAAGAAAAAATGAGTAAATCTGTAGTGTCAACTACAGATTGTCAACAAATATATTCCTTTCACCTCTATTGTTATTACTTCTATTTTCGAATAAAATATTTTGTAATTCTTCATTATCATCATCATTATCTGAAGAACTACTCGAAGATTAAAAAATTATGTTTTCGAGTAAAATATATTGTTCCATAATAATAATTAATGTAATTGCAACACTTTCATATATTGTACTTACGTTACAATACAATCCCAATGATCCCAGTGGAAGAAACGAAACGCAGCACTGGAAGTTTTCAATATTGCCAACTTTATCTTTTTTCCCAACACCAACCAAACATATTTTCGAACGCATTAAAAATATCTCGTGTATACAGGGTGTCCCATTTTAATCCAGTCGAATATTTCAAAAACCAAGCCCGAGAGAGAAAAATGTTTCAGATAAAAGTTGTCGGGTTAGTAACGCATTACGTAGCAATATTAGTATGACCTTAAAAGTGGTGTCAAGTATTGTAAAAATTATATATAAATTTTTTAATGGAAAGCTACTTTTTATTGCATATTCTTGTAGCTTATCTGGATAGTTTTTCAACACACTATAATAAAATGTTTTTTCATTGTATTTTTCGAATTATAAGGCTTCAAAGTTTCAGTATTTTGACATAAAATACAAAATATCTTACAAAAAAATTAATTTTTCGATAATTTTACCCTAATACTTTTATACACAGAATAATTACACAAATCAACTGGTGTAAAAAAACACACAATTGTCAAAGAAAAATATGAATTCTATAAAAATATGAAAAATAGTGGGTTTTATTTAAAAAATTAAAGGTGACTTTATGCGATCTTCAAGCAATTATCCAAGGATAAACCAATGGTACCATATATTCTCCTTCAACCATATAACTTTTCTCTGAAACATTTTTTTATTTTTTCCACATTTTTTTTATTTATCTGAGGCAATTAAAATAAAACACTTGGTATAATATTAAAATATAAAGTTTTATACATTATACATAATTTTATTTGAATTTATTGAAAACAGAATGACTTATGCATTTTATTTATGATAGAGTGACGAGATTATTAATAAAAAAGGATATTTATATCAAAATAAATAAAATTAACATTATTGAACATTGATGTGTAATATATAATCAGAAATGCATAAATCTTTCTTGTATTTTGTTAGCTACCTTAAAAACATAAAATCTCTGAAAATAATTTATTAAAAAATTGTTTTATTTATATATAATAAAATTATAGAGTATTAGTAGTAGTGTAGTAGTTGTAGTAATATAAATAATAGTTTTACTATTGCAGTAATTAGTACCAGAGGCGATCTATTCGTGTGCTGGTTATATAAAATCCAGAGGCGGTCTATTCGTGTGCTGGTAACTTCAAAAAATATAACACTACATGCGATTTACATGTGCGCTTTAATTAGTATTTATGTTGTCAAAGTATTATCCATTTTATCAATAATAAATTATTTTAATTATTATTTATCTAAATAATTTATTTTTTAATAGTACAAGTGAATAAAAATTTAAACAAAAGACTGTACTTTTTCAGAGATTTTATATTTTCAAAAATATTTTAATATTTTTATAAAAATATTTTACAAAATACTAATCTATTAATTTTTCTTTGCAGGCGAAAGTTATTAGTGAATCAAAAGAGAGAGCAAGACATAAAAGACTTGTTGTCGGAGATGTGCCAAATTGTTAGCAATGAATCCATCGATTTTGAGAAATCCGTATTTCCCAATACGATGAATTCAAAAGCTTTTGAAATAAAACAGAACTATAATACAGGTATGTATAATGTCGAACAAGATGTTCGATTTTTAAAAAATAGCGAAGAATTAATTGAGAAGCATTGAAGATGTTAACAATGAATCCGTCAATTTTAAAAAATCGGTCATTTCCCGATATAACAGATTCAAATATCTCAACAATGCAATGTCACGAGTCAAATACAAATATGTATGTCGAACAAGATATTCGATTTTTTAAAGATAATGACGAATCAATTGACGAATCAAATGACTTGAGAAGCGTTGAGGCTATTGACAATAAATCCATCGATTTTGAAAAATCAATACAACTATTTACCGATATGATGGATTCGAAAATGCTGTATCAGGAATCAAATACAGGTATGTCTAATGTAGAGTTAAATGTAGAATTTAGCAATAATAATAAATATTCCGAAACCATGGATATTGATGATTCAAATGACTCCGAAAGCATGGATATTGATGATTCAAATGACTCCAAAAGCATGCATTATGATAAATCCATTGTTTTTGAAAAATCGGTACAATCATTTCCCGATACAATGGATTCTAATATCCAAGAAATGCAATACCAGGTGTCAAATACACATATATCCAATGTAGAAAATGGTGTCGAAGATGACGAATATTTTGTTGTAGAAACGATTGAAAAGGGCTCTTTGAATAAAGATGATATCAAAGAAAATTTGCCTGAAGGCCGTCGCATTGTCGACTTTGCTTTTCTATGGAAAGAAATCCGTAGAGAATCACATCATCTGCTTCGGAATTTATGCAAAAAGTTGAAAAATGTAGAGGGCGTTGTTCCTTTCGCGGATGATTTAAACAAAATTAGCAATTGAGATAATTTTAAATTTTATTATATTTAATTATTTTACTTAATTTATATTTAAATTTTAGTTTTCATTACATTTCCTGCGCTTCGCGAATCGACAAGGAAAATTTTGATCCAAATTCTATTTCTTTTCCAAGAGGATTTATTTTCCGAATTTTAATAATTTTTATTTTTCGTGATGCACCGGTAGAAAATCCTGTCTTATTCGACAATTCGAATTCATTAGCAAATTAATTATAAATGCGAGAATTACAAAATAACAATATCGCACGTGTTTATTTATTAAAATAATTAGTACACTCGCAATTATACACAAGAGCGATCCAGTTTTTTCGCGAAAATCCTCAAAATAAAATCCTTAATAATCTCCATAATTCAAGGGAGGGATCCCAGATAAAACATGAACCTTATAATGACATTATGATGTCACCTAAAAGTCATTTTAGAAAAATAATAATATCATAATGATATACTTTCGGCAATGTTTTGATGACTTATTTTTGATATTAAACAATTCAATCGAACTCTGTTAGAGAATATATATATATATATATATATATATATATATATATATATATACTTCGCGTATGAAATCTTAAGAATCAATCATAATAATATCATTTTGTATATATATTACGCAATTACTTGTTTATTTAATTATTCATGTATATTTTCATTATATTTAAGCGACATCTTTTTAAAATTATATAATGCGATTATTGAACTTAAAAATTTATTATTCTTTTCGTCATCTTTAATTCATTTTTTAATCATTTTTGTTTAGGTAACTTTTAAGTGATAAATAAAATCATGATAACGTCATTATGAGTTTCATGTTCTACCTGGGGCGATCTAGTTCCTTCCGCGAAAATCCTCAAAATAAAATCCTTAATAATCTCCATAATTCAAGGGAGGGAGTTTCGTGCAAAAAACGAGCACCGAGTATACGAAACTACCGCCCAAAGTGAGGCTCGCTCGTCAGAATCCGCGCGCGCGTCGTTCAAATATCCCGCGCTGCGCCTGCGAACACGAGGCGCGCGAAGCTCCCGCGACAATTTCGCGCCAACAAGCTCTGCGCTTGCGCGACCGTGAAAGTACAATGTAATTTCAAAAGTCGCGCATGCGCAGAACCGCATATGCGCGCGCACGGAATCGGAGCACTGCGCAGGCGCAGCGCCCGCGTTGACGCATCACGGCGGAGGCGGAGGGACGCTATGGATATGTACGGATCGTCGAGACCACGCACGCAGAAGAGCGACGGTGAGGATCGCCTTCGATCGTTTTCGAACGCGCGGCTGCATCGCGATAGTTGGTTTTTGCTTGCTCGGCTGGTATCGCTTGCGGTGACTCGCATGGATATATGATATCGCGCGCTGCTAGAAAATGGGCCGGGGGTCCTTTCCTCCGGCGACACTCGGTTGTTGCGACTTGGCTGGTGCGTCACCTCGTCGGGTGTTGCTGGCGCCCGAACACGAGATATTCGCGATTAGATTGTCATTTTTCGGAGATTCAGATTTAAGGGGGGTTTTTCCATGACCTTTAAACCCTGATATAAAAGCTTGTCAAAAGTATAAATAATGTCCTGGATGAGAAATGTAGAGATATTCTATTGTCGAATTTATGTCTCGTCTGGTCTCGTTTGAGTAATCGAATAATTGTCTTTTATAAGAATGTACTACAGAATTTGCAAGAAAAAAATCTCCAAGTTGTACCGCAACTGGCTGCCCACACCTTTAGTAGCTGATACACCGTAGCCTGCATAAAAGTAGTGTTTCTATACTGTGCCTTCTATCCTGACTCTATAGATGTTTAAGCCTGGTAGTTAGCTATTGCAAAGTATATTAGATCCTTTCCCACGTTTGGCAAGGTGCAGTCTGCTTTATCTTTCAGATCTAGAGGTCACGGGTATCTCTCGCAGTGGCCGTGTAAGGAAGAAGTCCTCCAAGCTCGTTGACTTTGAGTCCCCCGATGACCTTACGGAGAATAAACTCAAGCGACAGAAGGCGCAACAGATACAAACCCAACAACTTTTGGATCAGTATGAAGTACAACAGCAGCAACAGCAAATATTACCCACCCAATCTAACCAAATTGGGCGACAGAGAAAAAATTCAGGTTCCAATCATGTCCAGCAAAGGATCAAGGTGGAATCCCTGTCCGATAATGAGATGCAATCGTCAGGTTCAGAATCCGACGATCCCTCTGGGATAAACGAGGATGAGAGATACAGCATGGACTCTGGAAGCGACAATGAAGTAGACCCTCTTATGATCGACGATAGAGAAACGGGATTTAGGAAGCTAGAACCACCATCAGGTCAGGAAACACCATCGCAAGCAAATAGTTTATATATGCTTGAAAAATGTAAAAAAAAGATTATTATTAAGGATGGGAAAATTATAGGCAAAACAAAGGCACAGCGTAAAGACAAAGGGGTACGTACTAATGAAGAGCGATACCAAAGAATGGCCTTAATCTTTTGATATTTTTAGAAGACGAGATTTACCGCTTACATGCTATGGGCAAAGAAAATTAGACAAGAACTATTAGAACAATCTCCTTATATGGGTATTTAAGCTACATTTATTCTTTCTCATACATGTACAAACGCATGCAACTTTGATGTTGTTTATTGATTGTTGCTTTTTGTAGATTTTGCGGCAATTTCTAAGCGATTAGGAGAGCTGTGGGCTACAGTACCACATCTGGAAAAATATAATTGGCGTAGACGCGCAAAACGCCTAGCAGCAAAACCTCATTCTTTACCAGCAAGTAAAGATGAGCCTATCTGGAAAATGCCACCACCCGCCTCGCGAAAAAAATTCATTAATAAAATTGGTGGGTTTGTTTAGTTCCTCGTGTATATAAGCAGTATACGATTTGTATGTCGTGTTGTGCAGTAGTCTATGTACCTTTGTCTTCTTCGTGTGCATGTGCATCAGCCGAAAATACTTGTCGGATCAAACATATATATATCCGTCCTTTATAATCTTCTTTGTAGTTACTTTTTCTTTTCTTTTTTTTTATTTTTGTTTAGTGTGCATGCCTTTCGTTTAAATGTGAACGATACAACGTTAATAAATTATTCCCGTATGCATTGTATTTCAGGTAATGGGAAAGAAACGAAGACTGCTTCTGCAAAAAAGACTATCCAACTTGGCATGCCGTCTGTTGTCGGGAATATCCCAATCTCCCCGCCGTCGAATCGCACCGGTAAAGATCTAGTCAATGAACCGGTGATAGGCACGGGAATGTACAAGGTGATTGGAACGCAGCCGATTGATGTTGCGGCTCATCTCAAACTACTTGGCGAGAGCTTGACGATCATTGGGGAGCGTTTAAAGGAGCACGATGGTCAAATAGCAGTCTCTGGCAGTCTTTCGGTTCTGTTGGATTCGTTGCTCTGTGCCTTAGGTCCATTAATTTGTTTAACGCAACAATTGCCGGAAACTAACGGAGCTAAACCAGAGACGCTTTCCCAAATGCTCGATAACATTGCTTATCTTATGCCTGGTCTATAATATATGTACAAAATGTTTAAAGCATAACAGTTATCGGTAATTGTGTAAATATGTGTATGAAGTTAGATAAAAATGAGTAGAATGAAATTATGAGCGTGAAAACAAAAAGAAAAATGTATATCGTTTATTTGCAAGAAAAATTTAAATCTTTGACACAGATTGTCATTCTATTTTCTTATCTATAAAAAAATAGCACATTATGTTTTATATAAATAATATATTGTATAAAAATTACATAATAAATATTTAAGTATAAAATTTCAAGTAGGAAGAGAGTCAATAAGAACCGAACGCAATATAAGTAGAAGCAATTAAATTGTGTAAAAATCTTTTTTAATTCCATTAAACATTTCGGTTCTTTTTTAGGCCATTTGCAGTAATCCAAATTATAAACATCAAATTCATATAAATTTCCTATCGGTTGCAGCTATTAATAAATAACTTAAGAAATTAATCTGAATATCGTTTTTTACTGAAAACGAAACCCGATGGAAACTGAAGATCAAGTCATATGAATTTATTCTTTGTCATTTGAATTACTGAAGAAGATGACCTAAAGAATTAAAATGTTTATTGAAATCAAAGACTTACATAATTTAATTGCGCTTATTTGCTGCGCGCAGCTTTTATTAAACAGTTTTCTATTTGAACTTTTATATTGAATATATTAGAACCTTTTTGATTTAAATATTTAAATAATCCTATTATAACTAACTGTACATGTGATATATATATAAAAATATTACACAACACTATTGTTCTGTTAAAATAGGCGGACATGTACAAAATAGATTTTTGTCACCGTATATATCGTCTATTCTTCCTACGCTTGGCCAAATCTTGTTGCTTCCCTTAACAAATGGCTGAAAAATTATATAGATATAAAATTTTTTTAAATTGCATTTATACGTTCAACTAAAATATTTAAGAGATACTTACAGCGGGAAAAGCCGCTAACTCTCGCGAATATGCTCGATTCCATTCGGTTGCTATTACTTGCTCCTGCGTGTGAGGTGCCATCTTCAAAGGATTTTGTTCAATATCTAATTTTCCTTCTTCAATGTCGGCAATCTCTTTCCTTATGGCTATCAGAAGAAACGCAAGTAAGAATGCCAGAAATATTGCATTATTTTAAGCACAGCATTCACAAAAGTTTTTTTTTTTAAACTTACAGATCAGAGAATCGCAAAATCTATCCACCTCAGTCTTATCCTCGGATTCAGTCGGTTCGATCATTAAGGTACCAGCTACAGGCCAACTCATGGTCGGTGCGTGGAAACCATAATCCATCAATCTCTTCGCGATATCAACGGCCTCGACATTGGCAGTTTTCTTTAAATCTCTTATATCCAGAATGAATTCATGTGCAATCAGTCCGGTTTCACCCTTGTACAACGTGTTGTAATGCTTCTCCAGTCTCTTGCTCATGTAATTAGCATTGAGGATGGCCACTTGCGTAGCTTTACGCAAGCCTTTCGGACCCATCATTTTGATGTAGGCCCACGAGATTGGTAAAATGGCGGATGATCCAAAAGGTGCGGCAGACACGGTACCAAGATTCTTTATATCACCATTATCGTTGCCAGAACAATTTATTATCGGATGATTTGGCAGAAAAGGTATCAAATGTCTCTTTCTGTAAATTAAATTATATATATATATATATATATATATATATATATTTATATAATTTGATACAAAATTCTTTTCAAGATTAGGATAAACGTTACTTACACTCCAATGGGACCCATACCGGGTCCGCCACCTCCATGTGGAATACAGAACGTCTTGTGCAAGTTGAGATGTGACACATCGCTGCCATAGTCGCCAGGTCGGCACAAGCCGACTTGAGCATTCATATTGGCGCCATCCAGGTATACCTGCCCGCCAACACTGTGCACCATGTTACATATGTCGCTAATTGTCTCCTCGAATACTCCGTTTGTCGACGGATACGTAATCATCAGGCACGATAACGTTTCTCGGTATTTGTCAATCATCTCTGTCAGATGTGCCATGTCAACAGAACCATCCTTACGCACCAAGATTGGTTCCACTTGCATACCCGCCATTTGAGCGGACGCGGGATTCGTGCCATGTGCGGATACCGGGATCAAGCATACTTGTCGATGCTTTTCGTCTTTGGATTCGTGGTAACACTGTATAGCTCTCAAACCCGCGTATTCACCCTGTGCCCCGCTGTTCGGCTGGAAACTGATGCCATCGTAACCGGTAATCGCGCAGAGATCACGCTTCAATTCAGTGAATAATTGTTGATATCCTTTAGCCTGCTCGAGAGGAGCAAAGGGATGCATGTCCGTGAGACCTTTCAAACTGCACGGCATCATCTCCGTTGTTGAATTCAGTTTCATGGTGCAAGAACCCTATAAAACGTTGATGTTAATTAACGTAAAACTACATCAGAATGCATTATTTTTGTAAAATTGCAGCTATTTACCAATGGAATCATACTATGTACGAGAGACACATCCTTGTTTTCCAGAGATTTCATGTATCTAACTATCCTTGTCTCGGAATGATAGCTATTGAAGACAGGATGTTGCAAATATGGAATAGTACGATGGAAATCTGACTTGTCCAAACTTCTTGCGAGCAGATCTTCGTCTTGGATAACATCTTCAACTATAGTGTTGGCCAAAAATATTTTATAAAGATCATTCACGTCCTCTATCGTTGTAGTTTCATCGAGGGATATTCCAACAGTACCGTCGTTGTAATATCTGCAAATTTTCGTTCATTATTTTATCACCAAAATTATAAATTATTTTGTCTATTAAGAAAAAAGTATACAAACCTTAAATTGATTTTAGCTCTGCTCGCGTTCTCTTTCACCATCTGCGCAGAAATCTTTGGCGACACTCTAATAGTGTCAAAAAAGTACATGTTGTGTATTACGTTTCCAGCCTCTTCCAAACCTCTCGTCAGGGCCAGCGTTAAATTGTGCACTCTGCTCGCGATGTCGCGTATTCCTTGAGGACCGTGATACACAGCGTACATTGCGGACATGTTGGCCAGCAACGCTTGTGCGGTGCAGATATTGCTGGTAGCTTTATCCCGCCTGATGTGTTGCTCACGCGTTTGCAGAGCCAACCGATAGGCCTCCCGTCCATTCAAGTCTTTTGTAACGCCTACCATTCGACCAGGAATTAATCGTACCAGCTTCTGTCTGCATGCGAAGAATGCGGCATGAGGTCCACCATATCCAAGAGGTACCCCGAAACGTTGACTCGTACCCACGCATACGTCGATGCCGAATTCACTCGGTGGTTGAAGTACAGCTAACGCCAGTAAGTCCGTAGCCGCGCAAACGAGTGTCTGAAACGCAGTGCGTTATGTTATTAGTCTTATAATATGTAATAGTTACAAAAGAACTGTATCTCCCATGTAAAAAATGTTTATAAGGGGAATTTTTTTTTATTTTTCTCAGTGTCCCATTTTAAAAGTTCCACCTTCATAACTTTTTTAATTTTGATTGTAGAAAAAAATGTTTCAGACAAAAGTTGTATGGCCTGAAGGGGGACATAAGATGGTGTCATTAGTTTAATATTGAAGAGTCACCAGAAGGTCACATCCAATTTTTTAAACGGGACACCCTATATACTTTTGCATATTCTTATAGTTCATCTTGAGAGCTTTCCAAAACACTATAATTAAATTAATTTTCATTAGTACTTTCCGAGTTATGAGGCTTGAAGTCGTTTCTTAATTTTACATAAATCGTAAAATATCTTGTAAAATATTCATTTTCCGATTATCCTACCTTAATATTTTTATATACAAAATAATGAGAGGAATTGGTGTAAAGGAAAAACACAGTTGTTTTGAAGAAAAAATATGGAATTATTAATTGCAAGTTACATGTTTCTTCGAAACAATTATGTATTTTCTTTATACCAATTGATTCCTCTCATTATTTTGTACATAAAAGTATTAAGGTAGAATAATCGAAAAATGAATATTTTACAAGATATTTTACGGTTTATGTAAAATTAAAAAATGACTTCAAGCCTCATAACTCGGAAAATATTTAATGAAAACTAACTTAATTATAGTGTTTTGGAAAGCTCTCGAGATAAGCTATAAGAATATGCAAAAGCATATAGGGTGTCCCATTTAAAAAGTTGAATGCAACCTTCACGTGATCTTCAGGTGACTCTTCAATGTCAAACTAATGACACCATCTTATGTTCCCCTTCAAGTCATACAACTTTTGTCTAAAACATTTTTTTCTACAATAAAAATTAAAAAAGTTATGGGACCCTGTATTATAGTTCTCGATGATAATTATTACCCCGTCAGCATGCGCCTTTTCGATAACGTCGTGGAAATTGTGTATACAACCAGTCGTATCGGGATACTGCAAGAGAATACCAGCGATATCCTTCCCACTTGTGTCCACGTTGAATACGTCTCCAATTTCCAGCGTTAAACCTAAAGACGCGGCTCGTGTTGCTATCACACTGATGGTTTGCGGATGCACTTGGTTGGAGAGAAACAATTTTTTTCTCTTATTATGTCTGCATGCGAGCGCAAGGGCCTCTGCTGCTGCTGTTCCCTCGTCCAAGAGGGAAGCGTTCGCCACTTCCATCCCCGTGAAGTCACATATCATGGTTTGGAAATTCAATAAGCTTTCCAATCGTCCTTGCGAGATCTCCGGTTGATAGGGAGTGTACTGCGTCGTCCTGAGGTAAGATGAGATAAAAATATTTATATAATATTTTCCTACATTTCATACAATGTTATCGATTTTATTCTAGCACGATTTACCATCCTGGATTTTCGAAGATGTTACGCATGATTGCGTGAGGCACGCAGCAATTATGGTATCCCATACCAATGTAAGAGCGCCATACATCATTCTTTTCCGAAAGTTTGCTTGCCAGTTTCATCAGATCGTATTCGGCTGCAGAATTAATTATATAATTAATATTTATTAATTAATTTACGGCACTTTCATGGCACACGGAGAATTTGCAATATGGGTTTGCTTATCAATGCGTTGCGCTTCTTTGTCCGTTTGAATTCATCCGTTATTTTGCGTTAATTTATTTTCGACTTTTTTGATTCTTTTATTATTATTTATTTTGCGTCTTTCCGTTTATTATTACTAATGACTGTTAATTTGATTTTATTTCATTTTATTTGTATGTTTTTACTGTTATTTCGCGATTTGACATAGAAAAGGATCAGAATTTGATCGAAACGCAGCGTTTGTCACTTAAATTAAATAAACGTTTTATTGGATTTATTACACTAATATAATCGTTTTTTCGCATCTTTTCATTGCGCTGGTCCTTTAAGCCTTTTATTGAATTTTTTAATTTATATAAATTATTAATTTATATAAATTTCATCCTCCATAATAATTCAAAACTCTAATTAGTATATTATTTCGATATTAATAATACATAATTAGAATTTTATACGATGAACAAAATATAAGGTCTTATGTTTGTACTATTGCAAAATGAGATTAAATTTATGCGACGACATAAACTCAATTCTATCTGAAATCACGTGAATGCGAAACGGACACACGAGATTGAACTATGACCTAAGATAACGATAAATCGATGGAGGGTTATCAATTTAAGGTCAAGTCGAATCCCGAAGTCTCGTGACTTGTCACGTTTCTACAGAATGACGATTATCTTAAAAGCGAAAAAATACAATTATTATTTATATATTTCATCCGGAAAAAAATTCGGATAACTTTGCAAGCAAGGAACAAAGATCCATCATTTCGCTCTAAATTAATGAGAGAGATATCTAATTGCGTCTTAATAAAATCTAAATATTATATATACTAATTAAGAGGATATATTACTCACTAACTGGCTCATCGAGATTTAAATCTCCCTTGTGAAGAATTTTAGCTGGTACCGCCGCTTCTGTCAATTCGTCAAGATTCTGCAATATCGGATTGCAAATAAAATTAATCCACGATTAATTGAATACAAATGTACTCTTCTCACTGAATGAAAAAAAAATTCACAAGTATATGTTACCTTAAATCCAATTAATCTCAACATTTCAATCTGCTCATGTTCTCTGGGTCCAATGTGCCTTGCTTGAAATTCCTCTTTTTGCGGGAGTAATTTAGCGAGATTCTTTCGCAAATTACTCAATCGCAATCCATGCGCACGTTGAGTCACAATATTACGTTTATTTAAAAGTTTCAAGTATCGTCCCATCTTTAAAGTATGCTGCATTGTAACTTGTTAAAAAGAGACCGCGTAGAGAAAGCGATAAATGCTGTACGTATATACCACTCGAGGATCGTCACAAAACTAAGAAACGTTATGAACTTGACGAAGATTTTATACTCTGTATAAATATTGATATAGTACAGTATATCGATATCATATGTCACAATTCTTGATTACACAGCTTGAACTTTAACCTTAGCTTATACAATAGTGAAAAATTATTTTCACAATTATATCTCAGTGTGTCTAATCCAATATAGAATTTATTAAACATTATATGATGTTTATTTATTTATTTTTTGTTTCTACTCCTATTTTAAACGTTGTATAATATACAAGATTTTGTTAATTATAATAATTTGTTATATATTTAATTAAGCGAAAATAAAATTAATTTTTAAATCTAAATAAAGAATAAATTGCAATATAATTTATATCTTTATATAAAGAAATAAATATATTTAATATAAAGAAATATATATACATATATTTTATAAGAACTATTTTTATTTGTATCTTTGACACACAAAAATATTTATATAGAATAGATCACATATGAGAAATACTCTAATATGAGTAAGATTGTTTCACTACACAATAATACATTTAACATTACTGTATCATATGTACACCTAAAGCTTATTACTCTATTTAGAGTATAAATGAGCGATTGAAAAACTGAAAAAGTAAAACATAATGGAAAAATATTTAAAGAAAAATATTTTCAGAACTTTTCAAATTATTTTTTAAGTTTTAGTTTAAAACAGTTTCGGATGCAAGAAAAATTTGAAACACATTTGAAAAACTATTATTGAACAGACTAGTCTTTATTTCATAAACTTATCTTGATTTTGTGTGAGTATCTTAGCAGATGATTTAGCATCCAAGAAAAGTGTATTGACTTCTTCAACATCCTCTTTCTTGATACTAGTTCTTTCATTAATCTTTGCAGCCAAAGCTGCGGGTGTTAAAAGTTGCACTACGTATCGCAGAGTCGTTTTCGTGCCGAGTTCGCTAAGAGCAGACAGAGCTTCATCCTCGATTTGAAGTCCTTCTGTCACAGCTCTCAGCTTCACTATCTGTTCAATCTCTTGTCTGGAATATGGAAGAGTCTTGATGATGAGCAGACGATCCAACAGATCGAGAGGGATGCCGTGTGGAGAGATGATGTCTTCGGTTCCCCGGATCACGCAACGGCCACGATTTGTAGCGAAAATGACGATCGGTGCTATAGCGCTTTCTAGCGCGCGATGCAGATAGGTAAATGTTTCTATATCTAGCATGTGGACCTCGTCTATGAACAATACGCCTGGTACTAACTCGGCAATGCCTTGATCGATGTACTTGTTTACTACCTTGTTTATTTCTTTCCGCAATTTATCTAAAATAATTTGTATATATAATTTAAATATATTTTTTAATTTGTACATATAATTGTATATATAATTTAAATAGATATATTTGTTTTCATATCAATATATATATATATATATATATATATTAATATATATAACATATATATATCATATATATATATATATATTAATATATATAATATATATATATATATATATATTAAATTTAAAAAATCTATAATACATAAATAATTTGTTAGAAGATATATTAAATATGTAAATAATATATCTTAATTTACCTGTAATTTCGGTTTTTTTAGGCTTCATCAATTGTCCCATCATGGACATTATGTCTTGTCCTCCTTGCGGCTTGGCGTTGGCAACATCTAAATCATGCAATGTCACATCTTGAATGACTTCCTTCTTTTTGTGTACATCACCTTTTGGCAAGGGAACATATTCCTCTGCTTCCAAATCAAATTCGGTAGCAAAATTATCACTCCGACCTTGTCTCTTTACCGCACCGCTATTGGCTTCGATGTAAATTACATCGCCAGTCTCTACCTTCTCTTTTTGCAGAGACTCATATATGGAGGGATCCAGCTTTAACTGTTTTGTGCCTTTAGAAGTCTTCAATCCAAGGACTACGTGTGACACAGTTTTACCATAACCACCCATAGGATTCTCCGTTTCTATAGGTGTCAGTTCTGTGACTTCACCCTCATATACTTCCTTTGTTTCTTTGATTCTCAAACCAATGGCCCTCCTGAAATTCTCCATGAGGACCTCTGTTTTCTTGATTTCCGAACTGTAGACTTCTGAACCAACCATGGGACAAAAAGGCACCTTGTTACCAAGTTCTTGAGCAATGGCAAGAGCTATCGCAGTCTTGCCTGTGCCTGGTGGACCGGCCAACAGTATAGCACGTCCCGCCATTCTCTTGGACTTTATCATATCGACAACAATGCCTGCTGCCTGTAAGGGTGACAATGCTATATTTAATCATTTTCATCACATACTTATCATTAATATATAAAAGAAGGAAAAAATGTTAGAGAGAAAGCTTAGGATAAGGAGATTTATTATATATTTATTACATAATAAATTTATATAATAATTATTATATTATTTCATATAATAATTATTATATTATTTTTTATATATAAATATAAAAAATAATATAAACAATAAATTATATATTTATTTATATTTAAATTAAATTATATATTTAATATTTATTATATTTATATATTTATTATATTTATTAATTTTATTTATATCCAGAGGACAAACCGACGTGCATGTAACATGATACAATTCCTACATCAAAAATCGTCTCTCTGAGAAGATACTAACCTCTCGTGCCATTTCCTGGCCGACGAGACCGGCTGCATTTTGGATGGCTGTGCCCTTCTCATCGAGCCCCAGCCCCTTGATGTGCGTGTGAGCGGAGATCCTCTGGGTCTTGGCGGTGCTCTTCACCTCCTCGATCTTCATCGCGGTTTTCCACGGCAAAAAGGAGCGAAACAAAGTACCACGATGACGAACACGTTGCTAGCTACGCCTGTTTGATTGATACAGCTTCCCCCACCACCGTTGTTACGTCGCTCGTGATTGGCGGAAATCAAACGCCGAGCTTTGCCTCGAGTTACCCCCCCGAAGCTCAAGCTCGTGGAATTTATCGCTCCTGGCTTCATAAATATATTTTTTATCGCTTTTCGATGAAATTAAAGAGAAAGTTCGAAAGACAAAAATGCATTTATATATCGGGTGTCGAAAATATATCGGCAAGAGATGATTAATATCGAACGATGCTCGCAAGCTGTCTAGCGATTAATACACTTTCCGGAAACTAGATGTCTCTTGGGACGAATAGTTTCTCGAGAACGCAGTGAATACCTGGATTTCGTATATAAAGGCCTTCCGAGGAGTCTGCTCTCGGGTCCGGTGCACCTGGGAAAAAGCTAACGATAAATCGTAATCTTAATTTGAAGTTGCCGCTAATTTCAATACAGTTCAACTATCTCAGCCCAAGGTGCGACGTCGACCCATTTTGCTGAACATCCTTTTCTTCTATCATATTTTTGCCACTTTTTCGCTTATTTTTATTTTTTTATATCATTCAATTTATGCTCTTCTACAACTCGATTTCTGATATTAATCTTAATATCGCGGTAAAGAACACTTAACGATTTAAAAATTTTTTTATCTATTTTTATTTATATATTTATTTATATATATTATCTGTTTTATTTATATATATTATTTATTTTTAGATAATTATTTTTATTAAATTAAATTGACTAACAGTAAAAAAACTAGAGCTAAAACTTGAAATGTTTTATTTGAAATTTAATTTTATGTCAGAATTAAATAGGCATTTAATACATAACATCTATTATCTTAATTAGAATTAAGAGGTTGTGGAATAAATTCGGGAATAATAAATAAACTTTATTGTAATAGACTTTAGACTCTTACAAAATTTATATGCATTAAGTACCATGATAAATTTCTTTTAATTCCAGGTTTTCTCTCTGCCGTCAAATATCTTCCCTGAAACAGAGTCATACCTTGTGCAAAGGTTTCGTTTCTCTGATTTTAAATTCTGGCATCACAGTCTGGCTGTCTTTCATCTGGAAGAGAGGAGAAATATTTTAAATATAAACTACTGACATATAGAGAGGCCATTGCGTAAAAGCTGATCATACTTTAACGTGAGCATATAGTATAATTCCCACTAATGTTAAAGTTATACCAATGACTTGATTTATTGCCAATGTTTCATGGAAAAGTAGCGAGCCTCCCAACAAAAGAAGGCAGAATTTGGAATGACCAACCATATTATATCTGAATATCTTGTTAAAGTGTGCAATATACGAGCTTAGAAATTTCTCGTAATAATTTTACATAAGGATACGTTAAAGGCGAGGTCTTTCCTATGATCCAGTAGGAAGTCAAATTCACAAAAAATGCAACCACACCTGATAAGATCACCATGACCTGGAAACATAAAGATGAGATAATTTAGTCAAGAGAGCACACAATCTTGACTTGAAAAAGCTGTCGGAAACATACTACATCCATTAGTGACCAATTGTGGGTGAACGTTTGTCCAACTGGCTCGAAAATTGGAATAACGATCAAGAGCATAACAGTAGATAACGGAGCTTGATAAAATAACAACTGCATCGGATCCATCTGAAATTCCCTCTGTTTTCTGTTTACCATCTGCAAGAAAAATAACGGTACATGTATAATGAAATTGTGTACACTCTTATATTTAATTTTAGATTTATATGTAAATTTTGATACGGTTTCCAGATTGAGAAACAATCGTACCACTTGGTACAGGGACGTTACAAGCACTCCAAGTGTCGCGTAAACAGTGCCGATGACATTGAATTGTATATCGTAGTAAAAATTGATCACCACTCCCAGGGTAATCGGTATCAGCGTCAATTTAACGAGCGTGCTGAAACGCTTCCTGTAAAATATCATTTGCATCACAATGACGCAGGGTGTCGTCAGCATCTTCGCCACCTGGTAGGTCCCGACTGTATTGTGGGCCAAGCTTAGGTTCGTCAGGACGACGAATCCGCAGAAGGTCATGGCGATCAACAGCATCTCCTTGATGTCGATGTCCTTGACGCAAAAGACGTCCAGCTTCTCGCAGATTATCAGGCCGACGAACGTCATGACAAAGTGTATCATTGACAGGGTGATGTTTGGGAAGCCGGTGTGGATGTAGAGCCATTTGTTCAACAGTACAATCGCGATCGAGAAGATTACGTTTAGCAGGAGGTAAAACGCGACTACCACCTTCTTGTTCATCTTACCAGCTCATGTGTTATCGTTCGTTTCCTCGAACCAGTAATTTTGACAGCTAGCGTACTGTGACGTTTAGCGTTTCAGGTTACGTCTCGCACATGTCAAGTATCAGAGACTTGTCCAGAGGAAGAAGATTACAATCGCTTCATATTATTTCTTCATCTCCTGATTGTTAATTCATTGATATCTCTCGAATAATATGCCATGTTCGAGGAATTAATATATATATTTATTTACCAATTATTTGACGTTTCATCGCATCAATCGCGACCATTCGACTGACGCTACTACAAGTGCTCCACGTGACGCTTTTTTTCCGAATACAACGGGTGTCCCGCGCGAAATGTCGAGATATCGATAATCAGATAATTAACGTTTGAATTTGGACAATCGCGGTTTATCTCGCTACCGAAAAAACGTATCTCCCGCTTTAATCTCTATAAATAATCAAATATTTTTATATCTATGTAAATATAAATATTATATTTGTTATATAATTATTATATAATAATTATATTTATTATATAATTATTATATAAATATTATATTTATTATATAATTATTATATAAATGTATTCATGTATTATATAATTGTTATATAATTATTGTATAACTATTATATAATTTTATATAACTATTATATATATTTATTATATACTTATTATATAAATATTATATTTATTATACATGGCGTTTCATAAGTGGTGGGCAAAATTTCAAGAATGGATTCCTCGTGCTTAGAGAAGAAAAAAAAACTAATCAATAGATCCGGAAATGATTAGTTTTTGAGTTATTAAGATTTTTTTTGTAATACAAAATTTTGTTTCATTTCTCATCTTAGAAATCCTTTTACAGGCATCAACAATGTTTTTCAAGTTCTAAGATGAGAAATGAGACAAAATTTTCTATTAGAAAAATCTTAATAACTCAAAAACTAATCATTTCCGGACCTATATTGATTAGCTTTTTTTTCTTCTCTAAGCATGAGAAATCCATTCCTGAAATTTTGCCCACCACTTATGAAACGCCCTGTACAATTATTATATAAATATTATATTTATTACATAATTATTATATATACATATTATATAATTTTATATAACTATTATTTATTATTTATTATTTATTATTTATTATTTATTATATAATTATTTATTTAAATAGTAAAGTATTATTATATATTTATTTAAATATTAAATAAATATAATATTTATATAATATTTATATAATAATTATATATATATATATATATTATATAATTATAATTATAATATATATAATATTATAATATATATATATAATTATAATTATATTATAATTATAATTATAATATTTATATAATAATTATATAATAAATATATAATAAATATATAACTATTATTATATATTTATTATATAATGATTATAAAAATGTTATATTTATTGTATAATTATTATATAAATATATTTATTTAAATAGTAAATAAAAATAGCAAATCTCGCGCCGCGATTGGCCGGTTTTGAATATTCCAGTTCGAGGGTTCCATCGATACCTCGAAGAAGCGTGATCTTTTTTTCACAAAAAACGCGAATCGGACACCGGGTGCATACCCACACATACAGCGGTGCACACACGTGCATACGAACACACGACGCGTACGTAGGCACGAGACGAGCGCCAAAAGTCGTTCGATGCCCGCTCGAATTTCCGGCGGTTTTCTGTGATGCAAATGAACGAGTCGCCGTAAGTTTCTCCTGCGTCGTCTCCTGGAAAATTGCCGGAACATGGTGGAGTTCCCGCTGGGATATCGCGAGGTCGTGCCCGATCAGACTCTGCCGGACAAATGGAAGGAGATCACCCTCAACACAGGTGAGCACGTCCTAACCTCCACGTGACTGGCCCGGCAAATCGAAATTTCTCCCGTAATGTAACATAAGGACGCCTCGAGGAGCTAGTCACGGCGATGACGTGAGCGTCAGCGCTCGCCGAGAAAAGTCTCGGGCGACCCTTGCTGGTCGCATCCCTTTGTACAACTTTTCTAACCTCCGTCTACCTGTTACTCACCCGTTATATAAATTAGCGTCTGGATGGTTTGAGGATTAAGCGCCAAATCTGACAGGTGTCAAGAGATTGCTTGTCAAATGTAAACCCATGATTTGACAAAATTAATAATGTGTGATGAGTATAAAGTTTGATGGCTTCAGGAGAAGTCGCTTTTTTTTGTGACTAGAAACAGATATTGTAATGATTTTATTTTTGCAGGTGGAAGCCAGAGTACGTTGCAGGATATAAAGGTGCCGGAAAGAGCGGGTGGCTACTCGTACAAAGACTCGTCCAAGTATTTCACTCGCAACCGTTTTATTTACTGGCGCATTTGTCACGATATACTCGAATTGGTGGAGCACAGTCTGGATATTAATCTTGCCAACTGTCGGGTGAGATACAAATTTACGGATACCCCAATCTTGGATGGGATTTCTATTCACGAGACAATCAACTCTGTCATTATCCTGATTGTCACCGTTTCCAGTGTTCACAAACTTACCTTTTCTCACCCTGATAAGATTCACAAACAAGTAAGTGGCCAGGAATATTTTGATCTTCGTGTTCTTTGAATCATTTTGTTGGTAATAATTTTAATAATAACATAATTAATAATTTCTTTCAGGAAAATTTATTGAGTACATATACAGATCTCAGTGTACAATCTATATTTAGCGAAGCTTCTGCACAAAATGCCAGAGATCCTCATACGTTTCACATTATTTCCAATGCTGGGACCACAAGTAAGTAATATACAGAGTGTCAGGGCAATCTCTTGGCAAAAAAAGCTCTTGTAGCTTACCTCGAGAGTTTTTCAAAATACTATATATTTTTTTGAGTTATGAGGCTTGAAATAATTTCTTAATTTTTACATGAACCATAAAATATCTAGTAAAATATTCATTTTCGATTATCTTACTTTAATACTTTTAGGTACAAAATAATGAAAGGAATTAATTGGTGTAAAAAAACATAATTGTTTCAAAAAAATATTTGCAATTGTTAATTCCAAATTACATATTTTTTCTTTGAAACAATTATGTGTTTTCTTTACACCAATTGATTCCTTTCATTATTTTGTATATAAAAGTATTAAGGTAAGATAATCGAAAAATGAATATTTTACTAGATATTTTATGGTTTATGTAAAATTAAGAAATTATTCGAAAAGTACTCGATGAAAAAATACTTTATAAATTATAGTGTTTTGAAAAGCTCTCTAGGTAAGTTTTTTTTTGGCGAGAGATTGCTCTGACATCCTGTATATATATCTATATACATATATAATTATACAATAAATTCATTTTGTGTATTATGTCACTATTATTTACATATTGGTCACTTACTCAATTGTTTCACTTGACTCGTAGATTCTCCGGTGCCCCATGCAGCAGCATCGTGGCTTACGTTGCCACAAGAAGAGGCACTGTTTGCTCTTGCCTATAGTTCAGCAACTATATTGCTTCTGAGGCTCGACACGCTCACGGGTCTTGTACACACCAGTGAATTGAAGCAAGATTCGATAGTGCCTAAATTCTTGAGCGGTATAGCCACAGCGTTTAGAGGCCGTAATACCGAGGCTCACGTTGCCATGTCCCTCGTTATACACAGTATCGGTAGCGATACGTATTTGTTCGCGTTATGTCGAGGGGGTAACGTGCGTATATGGTCTTGTAATAAGACGCAATGTGTGTCTGTGATGGACGCGGCAGTGGAGAATCGTATTGTGTCTCAAGGCGCGCAAGGTCATGTTTTAAGGAAAGCCCTGGGCAGCGATAATGAGTTATATCTTGGAACGTTTTTAAAATTTAGCGGCGGATGCGAGTTCAGTTTTCTGAAGCCTGTCCAAGATAACGGCATATTCAAGTTTGTTAGATTATGTACGTTATACGCCCCGGACGTGAGTATACCTTCATCGATGTATTTCCCGTGTATTTCGCTGTATAAGAGAAAACGTAACAAAATTTATATTATTCTTAAATAGCAACACCTGGTAGACTTTGCATTCACGCCGACCAGGTTGTGGGCAGTCTGGAGAACGGCAGACATGGACGCCGTGGCGGTTACGCACGCGCAATTATCGCTGAACGGCATGCAACGCATTAATTCTGAATGGGAGACCACAATTTTGGAACAAGCGCGCGACAGAGATTATATCGTAACCGATCCTGGAACCGATCCGAGACAAGCTTACATAAATTACATCTTTCATCCTGGACAATTCTCGTTGGTCGACATCACGAAAGCGCTTAGCATCTACAGAAGGTCCAACGTAATAGCAGAAATGACCTTCTCGCCGGCTGTCTTGAAGGAGAGAGTGTGCATGGCGGTGGAGGCCGAAATACAGGCGGAAGTGATGGACTCCGCCGACATACAGGCGGACGTGATCATGGATGAGGATTACCTCGAGATCGCTAACCGATGCTGGTCGAAATTTTATTCGTGCGTCGTTCAGTATCACGCTAACGGCACTCGTCCCGTAGGTCTACTACTACTGCCGAGTGTTTACGGCATTGTGTTATTGAAAAAATCATCCTTATCGCTTCTGAGACCCATGGAAGCTCTAGAACACCTGGTATTTTGCAACGACAAGTCCTACACATCCCGGTTCAAAACAACGCCCGTCTTATCGCAAGACGAAGACACGTGCCAAGATCTAATCACGCTAATGTCCGCGTTGGTCATATTGGGAGAACAATTGTCCGAGGAGGCTAAAACTGAAATTGAGAGAGAATTGTATCATCTTAGAAGTCCAGATATTATAATCGATAATTTATTGTCCAAGGTGATGTTGGAACCCGACGATCCGGTGAGTATTCTTTAATTAGCTCTTACATGTTGTTTCTTTTCGTTCCTGACTAAAAATCACTCGTGTGTCTCCAACAGTTATCGGATTTTGATTTCCAATCGGAACTCTATCACAAACTAAGTAGCATCAAGGACGTATCGCGTGCCATGGCCATGTTGCTCGATGCGTTAACGTATGATCTCGGACAACCGAATAAGCTGCAATTTGAAAACGATCACGACGCCTCGAGAATCTTGTTGAACGTCAATCATCTATTCGGCAGCCAGCTGGGAATTTCCGCGGTAGCGGAAACCATAACGCAAATAGCGCTTCTGAGATTCTCCATCTGCAGAGATCTACTGATCTTACAGCAGTTTATATTACTACGCCCCGAGATATTTCACTCGAGTTCGTTGCACACCGTGAAATCATCGTTAGCGCCAAGAACCGTTGTACTTACTCAAGCTTACTATGTCGTCACATGGATCTGCGAGTCTA